TGGGGCCCAGCCCCCAGAGACACCTCCCAACTCCCCCTTTCAGGGTGCCAGCCCCCCTCTCAAAGCACCAGCAAAGGACACCCTAATTCATTTACTTATTATTCAAAGACACTTGGCTGTCTTTCTCACTTATTCTCTAGTATTTTAAGTATTTCTTATTTCTTTCTTAATTATTTTGAGAAGTGAGATTGGAATTCATTTTCACAATCAAAAATGTCCACTTGAAGCTAAACTACTGGGGTTCCAATTCTGCCTTCCCACTTACTAGCTATGTGACCTCAGGAAAGTTACTTAACTTTTTTCTGCCTCATTTTCTTCATCTTTAAAAACTGGAATGGCTGGGGCTATAGCTCAGCAAGCACAGTGCCTGCCTGGCAAGTGTGAGGTTGTGCGTTTGATCCTCAGTGCCAAAAAAAAACAAACAAAAAAAACAAAACTGAGTTGGTAACTTTTAGGTGTACAGGATAACTATGCAGATTTTTAATTTTTTGATAGTACTGGGGACTAAACCCAGGCTCTTGACATTGAGCTACATCCGTAGCACACCCCCCTTGCCTTTTTAGCATGTTTTGTTTTAAGACAGGGTCTCACTTTGTAGTTCAGGCTGACCTCAAACTCACTATATACCCCAGACTTGCCTCAAACTCACAGTGATCCTCCTGCCTCAGCCTTCCAAATGCTGGGATTACAGATGTGCACCACTACACCTGGCTATTTTTTAAAATTTTGAGATAGGGTTTCACTAAGTCACCCAACATGGGCTCAAACTTACGATCCTCCTGCCTTAGCCTCTCAGAGTGCTGGGGTTACAGTCAGTGCCCCCACATCCAGCTGGCTGTGAGGATCCAAAGGAGCTGGCAGGAAGATCGCTAGTTTGAGCTCAGTCTGGGCAGCATAGCAACTTAGGGAGAACTTGTCTCAAAACTTAAAATAGTAGAAAGGGATGAGGCTGTAATTCAATGTGAAGACCCGGGGGCCAATCCCCAGCACTAAGAAACAAAGATACCTAGAACACTGCACACAGTGGCGCTAGACACACGTTTAGTGTAATAGCTGTCGCGTCACCTCAGTCCTCAGGTGCCCCTTGTTTTCTCCCGGTAACTTCTTTTCCTATTGTGGCACCTGCAGCTGGGAACGGCTGTCATTTCCTGTACAGACCTCAGCTTAGTCAGGTGGCTGCCAAGCGCCGTCTCTCTCCTACCTAGGTTCAGGTTAGTTGCCGGTGAAAATGTCTTCGCAAAGGTTACACTGTGGTTTAGCATTTACACAAAGCTGTTGTGTACCCAGAAAGGTGTGGAAATAGAGCCGCACAGCAAGAATTTGGTATTAGTGAAGCAAACAGTTGTCATTAAAGAATGACCACAGTTCTTTACTTTCTTGCAAAATGATAGGCAAGTGTTCACGGGACCTAAGGAAGGAAGAGCCAAGGAGAGGGGGCTGTGTTGTGCAGTTTTATTGCTGAGAAAAGAGTGAAATGCTGGGGTCACACAGGAAGAAAGAAAAGCCCCGCAGTACAGCTTATAGCATGAGTACCTAGGACCCAAATAGGAATCTGGAAAGCACAGCAATCTTTTAAGAAATGCTTTCAGTGATACAGAAATCTGTGTAGATAAACAGCTGAGTCAAAAAGGGGTTCAGGAGAGTGGGATTCTGCATGTGAAGAAATTTTGGGACCATTTTGGTCAATTTGTTTGGCCTATGATTTCATTTTTACACACATGAGTCATTGTGACTTGAAAAACTGATTATCTTAGTAAATCTGAAAGACTGTTCAATAAATGTTTTTAAAATGCTGACTGGTAAGAAAGCCCACCCACCTTTGGTCATCTTCCTTCTCTGACTTTTAAAAAGATATTATCTTTAATTGTGCTCAAATACACATAACATAAAATGTGCCTTCTTAATCATTTATTTATTATTTTATTTATTTCTTTTTATTTGTGTGTGTGTGCGTGTGTGTGTGCGTGTGTGTGTGTGTGCGTGTGTGTGTGCGTGTGTGTGCGTGCGTGTGTGTGCGTGTGTGTGCGTGTGCACACGCTAGGCAAGTGGTCTACCACTGAGTTCCAGCTCCAGCCCTTTTTATTTTATTTAAGATAGGCTCCCATTAAGTTACCAGGCTGGCCTCAAACTCATGATCCTCCTGCCTCAGCCTCCAGAGTAGCTGTGATTAAGTTGTTGTCATCATGCCCAGCCCCCTTAACTATTTTTAAATGCAGTTTGTTGGTATTAGGTAATTCACATAGGCATTTCTGTCATATTCTGATTAGTAGTGCATGATAAACGGGTAGCTGTCTCCTTAGACTTCTGGTCATTGTAGACAAAATGTAACCGCCCCCTCACATGGGCACTCCTGCCCACCCAGAGCCACAGGAGGAGGGCCCAGGCTGTGACCGGAGCACTTTCTTCCTCCCTGGCACCAGTACAGAGCTGAGTGCAAAGCGCAGTGGGGCATGGTCATGTCCAGCCCTCCCCCATCTCTGGGCTTGAAGCCAGACCCACATGGCCTGAATGTGCTATGGAACCATGGAAGTCACCGCCCTGCAGACTTCATGTTTGCATCTGTCAGGTGAGACCCTATCAGGCTTTTTGTTTATTGCAGTGCTGGGAACTGAAGCCAGGGACTCAGGAATAGCCAGGCACGTGTTCTGCCATTGATCCACACACCACCCCCATGGTTCCAGTGTACGACTGTGTGACTAAAGGACCACACCCACATCCCATAAACACACACAAACTTGGGTTGGGGTTCATGGACTACAGAGAGAAGCTGTGGCGTCTATTCTGGGTTTATCACGACAGCGGAGTGGGCTAGAGGCAGTCCTGCTCAGACTCAAGGGTCAGTGAGCCACTTCAAGATCCTGAACCTTGGCCATCCAAGGGCACACAGCAGCTCAGAGGGTGAGAGTAGATTTAAAAATGAGTGTCAGAACTTCAGCGGTGGGGGCAGGGGGTTCCAGGCAGGCTAGGGGCTCAGGCTACAATTTAGCAAGAGTCAGAGTGGTACATGAAGATATGAATGGAGACACAGAGAGGCAAATTCCCTGGGTGGGGACAGAGGCACAGCCAGCCTGACCACCCGGATCCTTGTCCCCTGGATCCTTGTTCTGTGTGGAGTGTAGAGGTGCTTTTTTTGTTGTTGTTTTTGTTTTTGTTTCGGTATCAGGAATTGATCTCAGGACCTTGTGCTTGCCAGGAAAGCACTTGTGCCACTGAGCTATATCCCCCAGCCCTGGAATGTAGAGGTGGGCCCCAGATGCCCTGCACAAGACAAGAGTTGGCCACTTCTCCCCTGCATCTTTTCCTTGAGCATCTGGGGTGCCTCGGGGTGGGAAGGGACAACCTAGGGTGGAGGACCAGAGCAACCGATCCCTGTGTGCCAGGCTCTGTCCCAGGCACAGACCCCCCCCCCCCCCGAGTCCCTTGTCGTTTGGAGCTCCCTTCTGTTGGGACCATGTGTTGTTACTTCTCCCTCCCGCTTCTACTCCTCTTTCTCCCCTTGTTAGCAGGGCCTGCAGGCCCCTGTACACATAGGTGTGTGGGATACATTTTCAGTTGCAAAACACCGTCCCGCTTGTGATCTTACTGCATTCTCAAGACAGTTGGGCAGGAAAGCATCGTTACTCCCATGGAGCAGACGAGGAAACTGAGGCTTGCAGAGTGACTTGTCCGTGGAGGGTGCTGGAAGCTCTCCAAACCAGCTTCCAGCACCAGCTCAGCCCCAGCTTGCTGGACCCCCTGGATAAGTCCCTCCCCTCCCCGCGTGCTTTTCCTCTACAGCTCAACACAGAGGTTCCACCCCACAGTCTCCAATCCCTCCCATATTTTCATTCCTGGTGCTGTAAATTTCCCAGGGCCCTACTGGCCAGGAGGTCAAAAGCCTGTATCCTCTGGCCCCACTGGCCCCCCAGAACAAGAGCAAGGCTGAAGGCATAGGGAAGCGTGGCCACACCAGGGGTGGCCTTGCCTGGAAACGGCGGGGCTGAGTGGGCACCAAGACCAGAGCCTCTTATCAGGCATCAAGGCCTTCCGGGCCCACACAGCTCACTGCCTCGCAGCAATGACCTCCCCCGCGGCCCGCTCGTGCCCAGCGCCTGTCACGACTTCCAGAACCCCAACATGTGAGTTTGGGGTCCCGTTTTCCGGCGAGCAGAGATGGTTCTGTGTGATACCTGACAGGACCGATTACTCACTGTGGGCCAGACGCTGTTCTGAAAGCTTTGCCTCCATGATCACATTTAACCCAAACCCAATCGATGAGCTGGGCTTTATTATCCCGATTTTACAGACGGAGACAAGGAAGGTAGTCTCAGAGTTGGAGCAAGGGAAGGGAAACCTTCAGCTTTCTCAGCCTCCCCCAGGGTTTTTCAATCTCCCAGGGCCAGAGTCCCAGCGCCCCTGAAGCCACCCTTACCCCACGGCTAGGGGAGCTGCTTCCAGCTGGGGTCCCAGGGAGTAGTGGAAGCTTAATGACTTACGGGTGATTAACTACAAGAAAGTAAGCATGAAATGAGAAAGCTTTATGCCTTAGAATTTTGGCACATGCCAACCAGTTGTTTTCCATCCCCTTCAAGAACAAATTAATTGGAGGCCAGACCGCGGGAAGAACTACCCCGTCACTAGAAGGGTGGAGCAACACAGTCCCTGACAGTTGGTTTTGAGAGAGGTGTCGCCCCTGCCTAGACCAACAGTTGGGGTCAGAGAGAGGGGCATCAGGCAGGCTCCTCTCCGGGGGATTTGTGTTTGCAGCTGGGGGTTGGGGAGGCGCTGGGCAGCAGCTCTGGGGTAACCGAGGGAACAAACACGGAAAATAGGGGACGTCAGTCCTTATCTGGAGCTCATTAATGGGGAACATTAGTCAGCTGTGAAGGCCCAGATGGGGTGATAGGCATGCGGGTAGGCAGGGGTGAGGGGCAGGGGCAGAGGCAGCCATGGGGGAGAAGTATTGGCCCAAACTCCACCTCCACCTCCACCCCCACGTGCCCAGATCCAGGACGGAAGGGCCCTATAAGTGCTCGTGGCCCAGCCTCCTAGAGGCCCAGAGAAAGAGAGAGAGAAAGAGAGCGCGCGCCGCACAAACCTCCTGGCCCCAGGCCGCCGGGCCAGCCCACAGCAGGCCCCACAGCATGTGGGAGCTCCGGTCCATAGCCTTCTCCAGGGCCGTGCTGGCGGAGTTCCTGGCCACGCTCCTCTTCGTCTTCTTCGGTCTTGGCTCAGCCCTCAACTGGCCACAGGCCCTGCCCTCTGTGCTGCAGATCGCCATGGCTTTTGGCCTTGGCATCGGCACCCTGGTGCAGGCTCTAGGTCATGTCAGCGGGGCTCACATCAACCCGGCCGTGACCGTGGCCTGCCTGGTGGGCTGCCACGTCTCCTTCCTCCGAGCCATCTTCTACGTGGCCGCCCAGCTTCTGGGAGCCGTAGCAGGGGCTGCGCTGCTCCATGAGATCACGCCAGCAGAAATCCGCGGGGACCTGGCCATCAATGCTGTGAGTAGCCAGGACTTATTCTGCGCCTTCTACAAGGGCCGGTCCTGGGGAACAACTTGGAAAGGGTGAGATGGGAGGGGCTGGCTTTGGGTGGGGGTCTGGGTGGCAAGGCAGAGACACAGAAGAGGCTGGAGCCAGACACAGCAGCCCCAGGAGAATCAGGGCAGGCAGGGCCATGGTGTCAGAGCAGAGGCAGGGTACGAGCAGGTGAGCTGGGCTTGAGCCCAAGCCTCTGGGAGGAAGAGTGCATCGAGGTTTCTGTGGGACTCGCCGTCTGCAGCACAGAGGACTGGGCCAGACCTCAGCAGGGAACAGTGTCTCAGAGAAGACAGGGCTTCTGAGCTGAGGGGGCTGCGGAGTGCAGCAGCAAGGGTCTTCCAGAGAGAGGAGGGGCTGAACATTTCTTCACCTTCCCTATGTGTGGGCCGCAGGAAGCTGCTCCTCAGAAGCTTGATGCCTCACGACAGTCCGGAGAGGCAGGGGTAGGCGTTCAAGAACTGAGGCTCAGAAAGGCGCCCACCCTCACTCCCCAAACCCAGGCTTGACTGCAAAGCCCGTGCTTGTTCCTCCTGAGCCTCGCCTCAGCCTTGCTTGCAATCAGGAAACAGGCTCTGGGACTCCAAGTGATGGAACAGAAGCAGCGTCTCAGTATGAGAGAGAACACCAGAACCCGGAGGATGGGTGCAGGAGCAAGGTCTGCCCTGAAGCTGGGGAAGGGCCCCGAGCCTGTAGGCTGGTGGCTGTTCACAGGATACCGTGGCCAGTGGGGCAGCTTGGGCACTTTAGGAGCTGGAGGTGACGCTGTGACCCCTGTCCTGGGGTCTATGCAGGGAATTTGAGGGCCGGGGGGACATGGCCCCCTCATCACAGCTCCCACACCGCACCTCCCCCCAAGCCAGGACAGTAAGTGCCTCCTTCACAGTTCATCTCCCGCACTGCTTGGCCTACTCCGTGCCTGGGCCCTGATGTCTCTGAAGAGCTCTGCACAGTCTCTGTGTCGTCCCCTCCTCTGTATAAGTGGCCTTCCTTGTGCAAGAGGCAGACTCTCCCAGTTGGGGAACTTCTTCCTTCTTCAAAATATGGAAGATAGGGAAAATACGATGAGGCTGAGGGCCCAGCGGCAAAAAAAGGTTAGTATGGCCAAGGTAGCGGAGGAACATGCCCATTTCCAGTGAGGACAAAATGAGTTCACTTTGCAGTGCGGAGGGGCCCAGCTAGAAGCGAGGAATTTCTGGAGAGCATGGCCTTCTCCAGTCCCAGGGCTCTTGGAACACAGAGAAGCCCCAGGGAGCACTCAGGCCTGCCCCTCCCTCCCTTTTCAGTGGCCGGGGGCCCTCAGAAGGGCAGGCTCTGGGAAGCTTCCTTCAGGCTGGTCCTGAGCATTTACCATCCAGGAGCTGGAGAGAATCCTGCCTGGCTGGGATGGGGCAGCTGGGGGGCCGACTTCCCGTGAGGCCAAGGAAAGCCAGACTCCCCCAAGGCTGTGGCAGGTGTCCTCCAGAGAAGCGGAGGGCCAGTCTGGCCACCAGAAAGTTGCCATTGATCTACCAGGCCTAATAGTGCCAGGCCAGACACTATCTCACCCTTGGTACAACCCTGTGAGGTAAATTCTGTCGTTCTCCCATCTGGAGTGGTAAGTTAAGGCTCAGGATTCAAAAGATCCAAATTATAGAAGCAATTAGCAATGTACGAGCTGTCCCCTCTGAGCAGCCATTTTTCATCAGGAACGGGGCTGTGACAGCCCTTGTCATTTCCAGTCTTTATATGGCTGTCCAGAATCTGTTTCGTTATCCTTGTTTTACAGAGGGAGAACCCGAGACCAAAGTAAACAGGGCCCCCCGCAGCAAATCAGAGACATCCCAAGTGTCTGCCTCCAAAGCTCCTTTCACTGCCCCTTAGGGACTCTGACCTGGACAGCAACTGGAGGAGCCGAGGTTCGACCCCCAGGAAGATCTAAGAGCACCAGCCTGATGTCTAGGTGGGGGTTCAGGGTCTGGAGAAGGAGCATGGGAGTTGAAGTGTCCCAGCTCCAACCTGCCCCAGAGGGCAGGGCGTAGGGTAGAGGATGACAAAACCCAGAGAGAAATCCAGGGCTGGGTGTGGCCCAGTTGTGAAACTGACTCGGTGAAGCCCTGAGTTCTCTCCTTACCCAGGGCAGGCACTCCACATGGGCTGCAGGCATCACAGTCCAGCACTCCCATGCCCTCACCCCAACCTCCACAGGATCTGCAGGGAAATCCGTGGGGACCTGGCTAAAACTCTGGAGAGGCCCAGAATGCAGTGGGGAGCAGCAGGAGTGAGCGAAGCGCTTTACGCTGTACTCAAGGGGCTGGGCACACTCACGTCCCTGGACCCTGTCCCTGGGAACCAATTGACCACAGAAGGAAAGACCCCTGGACTCCCGTATTCAGTGTCTTCCTAGAGGAAGGAAGGCCTTCCTGTTATCTCCCTGATGAATCTGAAACCTCTTCAGAACTGAAGTCTGGAATTGAAGCATCGCTTTCCTCTCAGGCTGTAGGCACACAACCTCAGCCCCGAGAGCAAATGGCTAAGGAGCCAGTTTTCCTACTTCTGCCTGGGGGCCTGGGCTGCCCTGGGGTCCATCAGGAAGAAGTGGGCAGGAGTGCCAGAGAAGGGTCTGGTGAGCCCAGGTGTTCTGGCTCCCAGCCCCGCGGCCTCTTGGAGCCGACTGCAGGTGGGCAGGAGGAAGGGGGGAGAGTGCCATCAGTGCCCCCCACATCTCCCCTCTCTGTCCCCAGCTCAACCACAACACCACAGCTGGCCAGGCGGTGACTGTGGAGCTCTTCCTGACGCTGCAGCTGGTGCTCTGCATCTTCGCCTCCACCGACGAGCGCCGAGGGGACAACCTGGGCAGCCCCGCCCTCTCCATCGGTTTCTCCGTGACCCTGGGCCATCTTCTTGGGGTAGGCCACAGCCGTGGGTTCCAGCTTCCCTTCAGGGGCAGACACAGAGTCTTCACCAAAGAAACAGAAACAGAGGCCGCTCGAGAGACGCACGCATAGAGCTCCCCAAAGTGATGGGCTTAAGGTTCCCGGAGAGACACACACAGAATGCCCAGCAGGGACACAACCCGGAGGGGCTGACTCCCGGATACCCCAAAGCGACACATACCACTTGACCCAAGTGTGTACAGAGCCTACTAATTACGTCACAAAGTCCACTACCCGTCGAATGGGTTGCCCTTGGGTTAAGTCAGGCATTGGGAAGGGGGACAAGGGCTCCCTACCCTGTCCTCACCACCTTTCTCTCTTTGCCCCCCACTTCCCACCGCAGATCTACTACACTGGCTGCTCCATGAATCCTGCTCGCTCACTGGCCCCGGCTGTCGTCACCGGCAAGTTTGATGACCACTGGGTAATGGCCGGACCCCCTGCTTCCCCTTCCCTAAGAACCATCTCAGAGGGAGAACAAAGGCTGGGACAGACGGGGTGAGGGGCTCAGCAGCTCCACGTTCCTCCGCCTGGGGCCCTGTTAGGTCTTGGGTTTCATCCTTTGGAACTCAGTTTCCCTTCCCTGTCCCCAGCTGTAAATGAGGATGACATTTTCTTACCTTACTGTCTTCTTGGGAAAATTAAAATTCCCCGTGTGAAACACGTACCACAGCACCCAGCGCTTAGAACTCGGTAAACCCTAATATTTGACAGCTAACTGCTGGGCGTGGTGGCGCACGCCTGTAATCCCAGCACTGGGGAGGCTGAGGCAGGAAGATCATTATGAGTTCAAGACCAGCCTGGGTTACAAAGTGAGCTCAAGGCCAGCCTGAACTACATAGCCAGACCCTGTCTCAAAAAGACAAAAAAAAAAAAAAAAGTAATCAACAGCTAACATACTTTTATTACTTAACACTTATCTAGTGCTTAGTGTGCGCTGGGCTCCGCTCTAAGTGCTTTTCGAACATCAACTCGTTTCACCCTCGCGACACTAGGAGGTAATCCTTGGAATGAAAGGAAGCAGGCACAGAGGGAGGCGCCAGGTTCACCCAGCCAGTGAGGGAATCGGAATTCGCTCCCTCACCCTCCACACTAACAGGTCATCCTCAACGCCTTTCCCACGAGCCGCAGGGAGAGGAGCTGGTCCCGGCCCCCGACTCGCCCGCCTGGGCGCGCGCGGTGCCAAGCGCTCTCTCTTCTCCAGGTTTTCTGGATCGGACCCCTGGTTGGCGCCATCCTGGGCTCCCTCCTCTACAACTACCTGCTGTTCCCCTCGGCCAAGAGCCTGTCGGAGCGCCTGGCGGTGCTGAAGGGCCTGGAGCCGGACGCCGACTGGGAGGAGCGCGAGGTGCGGCGGCGGCAGTCGGTGGAGCTGCACTCACCGCAGAGCCCGCCGCGCGGCAGCAAGGCCTGAGCCCGACGGCAGGCAGCGCAGCCCCGCCGGGTGCGGCCGGGCGTGGAAGGCCCCGTCCCACCTCCCGCAAGGCCGGAGGCTGGCTCGCAGGGCAGAGCAGCTGCTTCCAGGACGAGCGCGGGGCTGGGCCAGCGCTGTGGGGCTGCAGGAAGCGGGCCTGGGGATAGCAGTGAGCCTGAGGATCCCGCCCTGAGGCTGTGCACTGCTGCGGTGACCCTCTGGTCCCTGACTGGGAACTGAGGACTTAGAGACAAGCTGGGGGGGGGAGGGAGGGCAGGTGAGTGGAAGCTCTGAGAGCCTGCGCCCAGGTTCTTGGGTGAGGAGTGTAGAGACCCCTGCCTTAGAGGTCTGGGAATGGTGCGTTGAGTTTTGCTAGTGTGCAAGCGTATATCCACCCTTACTTTCCTCTGTCCTCCAGTGCAGGGTTTGCATGCACCTGAGTGTGAACTGGTATGCCTATGGTGTGTAAGTGTGCCGGGCTGGGACCTCTCACTCCCCCCTTCACCCCCTCCTCCCACACCTACAATAAATCCACTTCCTCTGCAGAGGATGAATCCTCCGAGCCAGCCACTCCGAGGAGAAGAGGAAAGGAGAGTTTGAAGGGAAGGCCCTCAGTCCAACCCCTGCCTTACCCCTTCTGGAAAATTCCCCCAAGCTGCAGCACCAGGCCTCAAGACTTGCCCTGATGCATTGGTGGAGGTGGAGAAGTATCAACCAGGAAACAGCCCCCCCTCCTCCCCCCCCTCCCCGAATGGCATCTAAAAAAGGAGGGCTGAGGCTGGGTGTGGCAGCACACGCCTGTAATCCCAGCACTCCGGAGGCTGAGGCAGGAGAACCCTGTCTCAAAAAAGAAAGAAAGAAAGAGGGCTGAGCTGCCAAAGATTTCCTCTCTGCCCTTAGGCAGGACTCTTCCTGTACATCCACAGGTGCATGCATGCACAAACACGAGACCCCCATGGGGGGAGGGGACAGACCCACAGATTAGCCTTCTTCTTGGGTGGAGAAAACAAAAGCCCTTTGTGGGCCCCTGGCCTTTGTCTTCAGGAGGGGGAGATTTGCAACTAGACACTTCTTGAAAGCAGACACTCAGTTTCGCAAGTGAGCCTCTGGCCCAGCTCACACCTATGGCTGGCTGGGCAGGGCACTCAGGCGTGCAACCACCACACCAGGCAGCACACCATCTGGGTCCCACTGCTCCCCCGGCCCCACGGAGCACTCCTCCCCCCAGGAGTCTCTGCGCCCTCCCTCCCTGGGGGTGGAACCAGACAGTCCCTTAAATTGGGCGCCCCTTCTCGCTTCCACACTGAACATTTACTGTGGACTCTGTGGACCAGAAAAGGAAACGACTTGCCGGGGGCAGAGGCAGATCTGAACCTAGAACCCGGGTTTCTACATTTCCAGGCCAGTGCAATGGTTCTCAAGTGAGACTGCATAGGACTGAGACCACGCGTATAAAAATGCCGGGTGAATAGTAATTCTTAATACCAGTAGCACCCATTATTAGGATGATTCTCACTATTTCTGCTTCCTCAGGAAGGAGGAGGGAGCAGAAGAGGCCTGACCTTCAGCCTCTTTCCCCTCTTTTAGTTGGTGGTCAAAGCAAAGGAGAGCTCAGGAGCCCCAGGTTCCGGGCAGAAGGAAACAGGTTGGGCTGGCCCCGTTCTGGGCCAGCCTCTGAACTCTCATTACCTTGGGCACACACCAGCGGTTCCTCCCCTTCTTTCCCCACACCATCCGGGCCTTTCCTCCCCCCAGCCTGCCGCACAACTGGCCGGGATCACACCTGAAGCCCTTTTCTCCAAGTTCTCAGCTGCTCCAAGCTTTCAAGGCTTTTGTCTGTTTGTCCCCCACTTTACCAGACTCCCGCTGTGTGCCTCTTTCTCCCCAGGCCTCCTTCACAGATAGACCATGCACAGGGACATCTCTGTTGCCGCTGTGTGCTCTCATGCAGGCTCTTTTTTTTCTGTCTTCCTTGACCAAAGCTCTCTTTGAAGTGAGAAGAAGGCTTGCTGGGCGATTGCTGCTGTGGGGAGAACACTGCCTCCAAACCCCCTTCCTCCTGGTAGCTGAGTGTCCTTGCCCTAGAAGGTCGAAAGCAGCAAGGCACCTCGTCCACGCCCCACTGCATTCTAACAAACAAGGCACCAAGCATCTCTGTCTGTCTGTACCACTTCCTAGCTTGAGTCTTGCCAAAACACAAATGTGAGATTCCCCACTACTTCTAGCCCCTACTGCCCAGATTGGGTTCAGAGGCCAGGGCAGGATTCCAAGTGACAGGGTGGAGGGAAGTTCACAGTTGCTGAGCACCTGAGTGCCAGCCACCCTGCGACTGCCTTATCTCATCCTAAAACTGCAGTCAGGAAGGACACTGAGCCCCGCTATGCAAGGTTTAACTATTCCCAAAGCACTCCCTTAGCATCCCTGTGATTGCTTCCCAACCCTGTGAAATAGCTAAATACTCTTCCTATCTGATAAATTCAGAAGCTCAGGGAAAGATAATGGCCTACAACACACAGTCATTGGATCCAAGACTTAAACTCAGGTCTTCTTATGCAAACCCCCATAATCTTTTCCCTAAGGCAAGCCCTGGGCTCCTCCTGGGAGCCCCTGAAGAAACCAGAACACTCAGCTGGGCCTGTCCAGCCCAGCCCAGTCCAGGCCACTGTCTGCGAGTGGACACAGAGTCTGGTAGGGAGGAGGTGATAAAGGACACAGGGCTGGTTTCTGCCTTTGGAGGCCACCCAGGGAGGTCAGATATAGGTCACACCGGCCAGAGATGAGGCAGTTTGGAGACAGACCTCAGGTCCTTGAGCTGAGCTGAGAGGAGAAGGGGGCTGACCACAGGCCCAGGAACACCCTTCTCCACACCCCACTTTGTGCCAAATGATCTGGTACCCGCAAAAGTTGCTGTGATGTTTTGTTCGTCTGAGCTGTGATTTCGCGTGTATCCAATGTCTTCCAGCTAGACTGTAAGCCCTTCGGGGCAGAGCGCCTTGCACTTCCTGGGTGGCATTTTCCTATCTATCTTCCCTCCTTGGTCCTTGTCTAACCTTATCTTACTATAAGCTCTGCCTATAGTAAGCACTCAATAAATGCTCATTTATCTATCAATAAGGGCTGTTTCTTCCACAACTTGGAAATGATACAATTCAGGTACTAGAAAACAGACTAAGCACCTTACCATTTCTACCCCAGCCCTCAGCCTCTCCTAGGGAATCCAAAGGTCCTTATCTGAGGAGAGGAGGGGAAGGACTCCCCCTGAGAAAGTCCCGTTCTCCCAGCCGGAAGGTTCCAGGAAGGCATTGCTCAGGAGCGGGCAGGTGGGATCACGAGGGCGCTGTGGAGACACTTCCAGGACATAATAGCAGGAGTTTCTGGTAACAACCTGGGAGCAGTGACCCAGATGGTTAGAGAAAAGCGCCTCACCCACAGGCCTAGGTTTTGCCCTCAGTGGTCCACTCCCAGTGACCAAGTTTGTGCTTCCCCTCTCAGGTCACTATGATCCTGGGCCAGTAAGCTCTGAGTTGGTTCCTTCGCTAGGTAGCTTGAAGCTAATTCACAGGACAGAGGCCAATTATGATCTATAATTGTATAGACAACACTCTCAATCTATAAAATGGCCCGAACAAGGTCCTGGGCTTTACAGTCCTTCACTAGCTGGAAAGGACTAAGCTCAAACCCTCAGGCAGATGCGTCCCTCTGCAGCTCAGCCTCCTGTGAACACTTGTGAGTCCTGCTGGCCCCCAGTCCTTGCAGCTGGAGAGCTGTAGACTCGGGAAGACAGTGCCCGGGAGAGGTGGGAAAGAAGGTGCGAGGGTGCAGGCTGAAGGCCTCTGGGATCATCGGTGCCATTTTGCAGTCTGAGCCTCAGGCCCTGAAGGAAATCCTGTATCTAGCAGCTGTGCCCTGCTGGTGGCAGGGCCTTGGGACCCATGGGACAAAAGGACAGACAGCCCTTCGGCCTTAGGAGAGAGGTGGAGGAGGAGCTGCTGCAGCAGGAAATGCCAGAGCAGAGCCGGAACAATAGCGGGGTTTCTTTGGCCCCTGTTTGCTTTGGCCTCTTAGCTGCTGCGGAGCCCAGAGCGGCTCCTCCAGGTCCTGGGCTTTCCCGCAGCTCCTCCCCCCGGCCCCGCCTGGCAGACTGACAGGAGGAGGCACCTGTTCCCTCCCTCAGCTGCAGCCTAGGGCTCGAACCCGGGGGCATTTTAAACTAATAATGCAGCCAGGCATGTGCTAGTGCTTCTCAAGCAACTGGTGGTGATAGCGGGAGGGCGCAGCTCCCCTCAGAATCCCGAGGGCAGGTCTCTGGGAGCCTTCCAGCCTCATTCCCCACATGCTAACCCTGGGGGTGAGAAGACAGAGGGAGAGAGACTGGGAGCGCAGAGGGAAGGGCTGAGGAAGGGCTGGGAGGAACTGCCCAGTCCAAGACCTGAAGGACTTGACTTTGTGAGAACTAAAAAGCACTAAGTGTAAGAGACGCAGGCACAGAAAATCAGAGACACACAAAACCAGAGAAAGACATAAAGATTAAAAGAGGGAGTAAGGGGAAAAGGACGAAAAAAGAGTTAAGATGGGTCCAGTAGGTGTACCAGCGCCACAGGAGGAGCAGAACCATCGTGTCCCGCGATCAGGGGCTAATGGAAAACATGAAAAGACGCAGAGGAAGGATGACACGCAGAGGAGACGCCCACATGAATGGAGACAGAGGCTGACTGTAAAAGGAAGGGAAAAAACGGAAAATGAGAACATGGAAGGCAGACAGAGAGCGAGGGGGAGAATTCAAGGCACAGACTGAGAGTCTCACACGACACAGGCAGAGAGGTCAAGAAAGTGAGGGGGGAAGAAAAACAGAGCAGGAGGAGACTGGTGGAGCGGACAAAAAGACGGAGACAACCGGGTGTGGGGCGCACACCCTAACCCAGCACTCCGGGAGCAGGAGGGGCAGGATCCAAAGTGCGAACCCTCCAGGGGCTGGGGTTCAGCTCAGTGGTGCAGTGCCTGCCTGGGAACTGTGAGGTTCTGAGTTCAATTCCTGGTACCCCCTCAAAAAAACAAAACAAAAACAACAAAGTTCAAACCCAGCGGGGCAACATAATGAGACCCTGTCTTCAAAATTAAAATTAAAATAAAAGGACTGGGGGCAGAGTGTGGCAGTGTGAAGGCCCTGGGTTCAAGCCCCAGTACCCCAAATGTATACAGATGAGAAAGGAATCAGGGGGCTGGGGCAAACACGGGATAAGAAGCAAGAGATCTCTACAGAGAGCGAACCCGGAGGCCAGGAGGAGGCCGGGAGGCGGAGGAGGAGGAAGGGAGCAGCAGCGATCCCGACTGGGAGCTCCTGGCAGGGCCGGGGCAGAGGTCGAGGTCTGTGGCCCCCAATGCCGGGGTCTCTTGCGTGACCCCAAAACAAACCCTAATTGGCCACGTCCCTTCCCACTATGAACAAGGGGGCTCCCAGCCCACCTCCTGCAGGGACTCAAGGGGTCCCCAACAGGGCTGTGCCCCAGGATGGCGGCAGGATGGCCTCCGGGAGTCTGCTGCCTTGTTAAGGTGCTGCCCGGACGCGCGGCGTCCAGGATTGCTAAACGCAGGCTGGCACCGTGCCCTGCGGTGCCCTACGCCCCCGCTCAAGCCGGCGGCCGGGGAACCAAGAGGCGCTGTCTTCAGAGAAGTGCATTACCTCGGCGGTATACATGGGTGAGGCCGAGTCAGGAAGGATGCTTGGGGCAGGAGGAAAAGGAAAAGGAGGAGCTGGATAAGGGCCTGAAGAGAAGAAATGAAGACCGGGAGCAGGTAGACTTCCAGACCCTGTCGGACTGGAGAGCCCGGTCGTGGCCCGGGCTCCCAGCGGAGCGAGGCACACAGCGCCCAGAGCGCGCAGGACGCGGAGCGGCCCGGAGCGCAGCATGCTCAGGCCGGCGGCCGCGCAGCCGGTCTACACGGCCGGCTGGGTCACCTGGCCGGGGCA